CCGCGGGAGAAAGATGAGGCTTTCTACTCCCGTAAGGATTTACACCCTCGGAAACCCTGTACAGGGTCGCTATGGGTCGGAACCGACTCGACGGCACTAAACAACAACAACAACCATTCCCTCTGGATCTAGGTTCCCTCTTGAAAGCTTGTAAGCCAGTCACTTCTTGCCTTTGTAACCCCTCACCCCCCATTTTGAGTAGCCAATGTCCAAGTTGCCCATCCCTGTCTACTCTGTGTGTGGAGGGGGTGGGAATGATCCTTGCTGTTTGTTCCCTCTTTTGAGCTACTGCATCCATAGGTGTAGGTCAAGTTCATCAAATTGTATCAGAATACTTTTTTTCCTCTTCTTTCTTCTTCTGGTTGAGCTCTGATCATCCCAAACTCAGTCACTTTTAATGTTACTCACAGTAGTAGATGTCTAGTCTCTGAGACTAGCAGAAGGGTGTTGTGATTATAGGGAATTTGCAAATGTCTGGATAGTCTATAACTTTGTGGGGCATGAGCTTACTTTGTCAGGAGACTTCAAAGAAAGATCTATCATCTCCAAGCTTCTAAACTCAAAAAAATCAGAAATTCAAAGAATATTTGGCAGAATATTTTACACACTTTACTTTAAAAACTTCTTTTTAGTATTACTTAAGATGTAACTTACAAGATCCCAGGATAAAGGCGAAATATGTAATGAAGTTTAGTTAAGGTTTACTATGGTTGTTTGTTAATGATTTTGAGACCTCTCAGTATATTTTTATATTGTTTTCTTGGTATGGAAAGTATTAAACTGATGATATTGATAAAATATCATCTCACACCTACTAAGCACTCAGTATGACCCAAGTATTGCAATAAGTTTCATATGTGCTTCCTCATGTCATTTTCACAACACATTATGAAATGTCTCAAGTTTGCATATGAAGAAGATGAGATGCAAGAAGCAAAGACACAAAGGCCTATCATTGTAAATGGAATACCTACAATAAAAGTTCAAATGCTGAGACTCTGCTGTTGTTAAGAGCCATCAAGTCAGTTCTCACTCATAGCAACCTTGTATAGGGTTTCCCAGGAGCGTCTGGTGGGTTTGGACCACTGACTTCGAGATTATTTTGTTGTTAAGTGCTGTTGAGTCTATTCCAACTCATAGCGACTCTGTGTAAGGTTTCCAGGGAACAGCTGGTAGGTTTGAACTGTCAACCTTGTGGTTCACAGCCCAGTGCTGATCCTACAGCACCACACCAGGAGTCCCTAGTCCAGTGCTTATCTTAAAGTGTCACATCTAGAACCCATATGGTGGTGGTGGTGACTGTGTGTCATGGAGTTGGTTCCTTAACATCTTTTTGTCATCTTAACAATCTAAATACAAACTATATGAAGATTTTCAGATCATCTAGAACTAATTTTCAACTTTAATTTGTAATTCAGAAATGGTACCTTATGGCAACTATTAATTAAAACTCTCAAAATTGTGATTTGTTACAGAGTTGAATGCCAAGAAAATTGAGTTTGAACAATTCTTGCCCATGATGCAAGCCATTTCCAACAACAAGGAACAGGGCAGCTATGAAGACTTTGTTGAGGGTCTGCGTGTCTTTGATAAGGAAGGCAATGGGACAGTCATGGGTGCTGAGCTCCGCCACGTTTTAGCCACCCTGGGTAAGAAGAATTTAAATATCGTTAACAGAGGACTAACTACCTTAGAAAAGTGTCAGTTAAAATAAGCATGCTATAATCAAAATGGGTAGGGAAAAGTCCACAAAAGGAAACCAAAAAAGAATAGTCAAAAGGTACAGAGCTTTTTAATGAAATAGCCTCACAAATAATGAGTTTATTCTTCAAAAATAAAAACTTAAAAGACAAATAGTGGGGGGAAAAAATTAAGCAAAGCACTGTAGATTTTTAAAGGCTATCTTTTTGGATCATGGGGGATAATGTACATTTAATTCATGCATTTTGATACAATTTCTTGGCAACCTACTAAGAATGCCAGGAGAATAGGAAGGGCACATGTCCTAACTTCCAATTGCTTTGCTTAAATATGTGTTGAAGGAGCCCTTGACAGATCACTTATGGTGGAATTTTAAAAGTATCCTTTGGTCTTCTTTCTGAACAAAGAGTTGCGTTTCATTAGGTGAAAAGATGAAAGAAGAAGAGGTGGAAGCCCTAATGGCAGGTCAAGAAGACTCCAATGGCTGCATCAACTATGAAGGTACAATCTCATGTCCTCTGGTGCTCAGAGCTACTCTGATTGTGATCATGATGAGGCGCCTTTAGAGTTTAAGATCACTTCTTTTCCTTTTCATCTCACTGAACATATATCCTTGTTATTATCAATCAATTACATAATTACCTAAAAAGTAGCCTAGAAGAATATATGTAAGTTTTATTCAGGATGCTTTACCACCCACTGGACAGTGTTTTATGCCTTTTCACGTTAGATCTTCACACTGTCCTTGTGTGAAAACTGGGCTTATATTTGAATCGAAGGTAATAGAACACTAAACCTGGGAGAGGTCTCAGAGTCTCTCACTAATACTAACCAATTATGAAAATGAGGAAACAAAGGGTCAAAGAGGTGAAGTTACTTAGTGAAGGTCAAATCATTAATGTCAGGGCTGGTGCTAGAATTTAGTTCTCCTTGCCTAGTGTTCTTGCTGTAATGACAGTCATCTTACAGTGGCTACTTATCTAGTTCCCACCACCAACTGAAACCCAGCTTCAGTAGAGCTTCTGCAGAGCAATGATTCTCACAAAATCAATTTGCCTAATAAAAAAGTTTAAATGCAAAACTTTTCAATAAAATTAGGAGGTATCTATTCCCAAAGAACACTAATCTAGCCACATTTCAATACAGCTATATCGATAGCCTTCCTGTTGATAGCAACTTAGTAAAGGGGAGGGAAGAAGGAAAGGATGGTGAAGAGAAAACCAGGAAGAGAGAAGAAAACCATTCAGCTAAGCATATATTCTCTGGCAATCTTAAATAAACTTCACTTTTTAAAAACACACTTTTTTACATTTGGTAACTTCCATGAATACATGACATAAAAGAAGAAACATTCAATACATATTTTTGGACAAGTGGATAGCAACCTAGAAAGTAAAATAATTAGATCATATGCCATGATAACTGGGCCAAATTTTTAAAAGCAAAAGCCAAAAGTATCTAAAAGAATTAAAAGTACCCAAGAATCATTTTATAAATTTGGAGTTTTAAGACTTTCTAAATTCTAAGGAGCTCTGGTAGCGTAGTGGTTACGAATCGGGCTGCGAACCTCAGGGTCAGCAGTTTGAAACTACCAGCCTTTCCGGGGAGGAAGATGAGGCTTTGTGCTCCCGTAAAGATTTACAGCCTCGGAAACCCTGCATAGGGTCGCTGTGAGTCGGAATCGACTCCAAGGCACATAATAACAACAACAATTCTAATACAAAACCAAAAGACATTTAAACATTTTAATAAATTCAACTGATGCGCTCATGAGGAATCTGTACATGGACCAAGAGGCAGTTATTCAAACAGAACATGGCAACATTGAATGGTTTAAAATTTAAAAAGGTGTGCGACAAGGTTTTATTCTTTCACCATACTTATTCAACCTGTATGCTGAGCAAATAATCTGAAAAGCTGGGTTGTATGAAGAAAAACGTGGCATCAGTATTGGAGGAAGACTCATTAACAGCCTGCAATATGCAGATGATACAACCTTGTTTGCTGAAAGTGAAGAGGACTTAAAATATTTACTGATGAATATCAAAGAGCACAG